CAAAAGCAACTATTTAAAAAAAAGAGAAATATAGGAAAAATTCACCCTCATAGACGAATTTCTAATGTAATATAAAAAAAGTTATTATCGTGACCAGCATTAGTAATGTCTGCCAGGGGGCGCGCTCCCCTCTGGATGGTTGACAAATAATTCCGAAAAAAAATTATCCAAAAAAACAGCTATTTTATAGAAAAGAGAAATATAGGAAAAATCATCCTCTAAGACGAATTTTCTAATTTGATCAATATCATCATCCTAAGCTCGAAAATCCATTACTGGTAGTGTTGCCCAAATGCGAGACCGAGACGAGTCTTGGTCTTGCCCAAGAGTCTTGCAGTTACTTATTAGCTTATTACTATAGAGATATTACTGTATTTTTTTAGTCAGGAGAAACTTAACTAAGCCCGAATGACAATTTTTTTTTTTTATTTATTTAGAAATATAATAATCTGTCACGTGGACAATAATTATAGTGATATATGAACACACTCACACCATATATACAAAAAATATAAAATTAACAAAATTAAAATAATAATCAAAAATTATGTACAATAAAAAAATAAAATAACCTAATAAAATAAAATAAAAGTAAGGATTGGATACGAGAGGAATTCGATGGCTTAGTGGAGCCCCAAAGGTCAACTCCGTAAGACCAAATAGGTCTTATTGTAGTCATGTATATGGGTTTTTTGTAATTAACTGGAAGCTTAGAGCGTTTGTCTAGTAAGTGCTGGATTAGTCGGAAACGTAGAGCGGTTTCTTGTCGTTTCAGTCAGGTATGAGGATTCCAAGTAAGACATTTGTCTAAGTGAAGTCCAAGGTATCGGATTTGTTCAAAAGGGATATGTGGAGTATTATTAAAGGTTATTGGAGGAGAGGAGGTTATAGATTGATGGCGAAGTATAAAGGTGATTTGATGAGATTTATTAGAATTTATTTTAATCCTCCAGTTTCGACACCATTCTTCAAGGTTTGTGATGTGTGATTGAAGAGTTTGTGATGTAATGGTTGGGTCATTATTAATGGATGGGTTGGGATGTCAGATGTGTAAACTATGTAAAGGATAGCACCCAGGATACTACCTTGAGGGAAACCAGTTGACTGAGAAAAGAGGATGAATAAGCATTATTGTATTATTTACTTAGAAGTATCTATCAGTTAGGCAGGAACAGATAATGAGGAAGTGTGTAGGATGTAGGAATTCAGGGATTTCGTAAAGCAGTCCCGGGTGCCAGACTCGATCAAAAGCCTGTTCTACATCGAGAAAGACTCCCGAGCAGTACATTTCGCCCTCCAAAGCAGTGGAGACAACATTCACCACACGATGGCATTACTGGATAGTGGAATGGGATCTGTGGAATCCAAATTGGTGATCTGGGATTATGTGATTAGAATCTAGGATTGGGTACAGGTGTTTTAGGATGAGTTTTTCCAGAGCTTTGCCCATGATGGGTAAAAGAGAGATAGGACTGTAAGAGGATGGGTATTCTGGTTGCTATTTAGATTTATGTATTATTTTGATAATGGATAGTTTCCTATGGTCAAGAGAATATGTGGATCAGAGTGCAGCATTGTATATATAAGTTAGGAATAGAATACATTACCGAGGAAGTAGTTTTAGGATCTGGGATGTAATTAGGTACTGCCCAGGAGCTTTGCGGGAAGGTAATCTGTGAATAGTGTTGGATATTTCTGAGGGATGAAAGGCTTTAAGTGGAAGAGACTTTTGGAGTGGTATATCCAGTTCTGCTTCAATACATTCAAGGTGATTTGGATTAAGAATATCGGGATGAGGATTAAGAGGTGGTGAGCACATATTAGGGATTTTTCTTCATTTGATTTGGACCAGGTTTGGGCTACGGTAAGAACTGGATGATTACAGTCTTTAAATTTCAGGAGTCTTTTACTGGTCATCCATGGTGATTTGTCGGTAGGTGTAAGTTTTTCAGTAAAATTTAGTAAATATTGAATTTTGTATTTTCTAATTTCTAATTTTAGTTTGTTAGTCATTTGGGTGTAATGTGCTTTATCTGTTGGGTACCTAGTTTGATGCCACTTCAATCTTGCTCTGCGTTTCTTTTAACAAGATACGAATAGGCTATGGCAAGTTGGTCTTTTTTGAATTGTTAATCTTATTGGTAAAGATGTTATTATTTATACTATCTGTTATTGGTGCTGTAAGTTTTTCTATGGCACCATTAATGTCTTCTTTTTTCTTCAGCAGAATTTTTAGGTCTAGTTTGTTTTCCAAATCATCACGAAATTTGTCCCAGTTTACTCATCCTGTGATCAATTTAGGAGGTGATGGTTTAGGAGCTAGATTAGAATGTAGTGAAAGCAGAACTGGACTATGGTCTGAAGAAAGGTCAGACCATTAAAATGAAACATCGTTTTAATAATTAAATGAATTAAGAGTTGAAAATTTTATTTATTTTGTAAAAATCGGTAATTATCTATCCTGTTTTTTTTTTTATTTCTTAACACATTTTCATTATTTTAGTAAATTTTAATTCATATAATTACGATTGTCCCCTTCCTTTCACTGAATTACATCCTTCTTTATCCTTATATGACTAATATCCTATTAACTTTTTTATATATTTATAAAACTTAACTAATATCTTATTAAATTATCACATTAACTCCCTATCCATTCTAGCCCACTTTGATGAATTCCTTGATTATTTTCTCTTTTTATCATATTATTGCTGATTCGGAGACTTGGTTCAAACCAAACATTCAACGTTGTTCATTATAATTATTCCTAGGAGGCTGAATACTCCAGAATAAAATTTACTTTTCTTTTTATTTCTGTCTTTCTTTCAAAGAGTTAAATTTGAGGAAATCTAATATTGGTCTTCAACTTTTTAGCAATGACACCATTGTCATCCAACGTTTATATTTTGTCTAATGATTTAAAACACTATCTATTCATAAAAAAAAAATTGAAATTTTAAAATATGTAATTTCAGAGAAAATTGAAATTAAAATTTCAAATTAGATTTTGAAAAACATATTCGAATATTACCTTAAACAGTGTAATATATCATAAGAAAGTGCATTTAAAATGCTGTAAAATGATATCAATCTCAGACCTCTAACCATGTTATGAAAGATTCTACAATAATTTTTAATTTGTTTTTCAGCTTATTAACACACGCACTCGCGCGCGCGCACGCACGCGCGCGCACACACACACGCGCACACACACACACACACACACACACACACACACACACACACACACACACACACACACACACACATATATATAATCTTAAACCTAACTAGTTGACATTACCACTTAATAATCTAATAATAACCAATAATATAATAAATGAAAAAACATATCGTCAGAATATATCGAAATTGTTGTAAGTCACTATTGAAATTAAAATAATTATTTTTAAATTAAAAATGAATTAAACATAATATTTACGAACTAATTTACGACTGGTTGGGTTAGGACTGTTGCACAGTGGTGCCAATTCCAAATCTAGCGGGACAAAAGTCTAGAAGCCATGTTATTGAAGATGAAATATTTCCTTCTCATCCAGACTAATCTGTTATTGTTTAAAAAGTCATTTAATGATTTGTAAAACATTTTTTGTCGAAAACTTACGTTTTTTTATATTTCATGAAAATTTTAAAACAAATATAACATCTCTATATTAAAATTCACTCAGACGGAGATCATCGATTTCTTTCTAATTGTCTGGTATTAAATACATATATTCGTATTCGGCATTACAAGCAAATTCAAAACAGTCACTTAACTATCTACTTTTTTTCGTGTAGTGGCCTGTAGAAACGAATCCTTTTTTTTTTTTCAGATCATAATAAAATTTTTCTTTGTATCTAATAAAAAATAAGACGAAATAATTAATTTTTCATAATTTCGGGGCATGTGAATAAACGAGTAACAGTCAAAATGACAAGGGTTTGAAGTTCTATGTCTGCCATGATTAAAAACAACGTAGATGGATAACAGTAATAAGATATTTCAATATTACTAACTAATCTGAGTTTAGGTTTACTATAGCATTTCCAAGTCAATTTCAACTTTATCCATTTCATATTCAACCTTTTCCAAGTCAAATTCAACCTTTTCCATTTCAAATTCAACTTTCGAATTTTTGTCAATTTTCGATTTTTTTCGAAATGAAGGCCACTTACTATATTATCGAAGGCATAGCTTTTGAAAAATCCAAAAAAAAAAAAAAATATGATAACGAGGTTGCATATCCATTTATTTTAACATTTTAGATTTTGTTCAGTGTAATATTTCTATGTCATATTCAATTTTGTCAAAATATTAAAACGTAAAATTAGTTAAAAATTTTATGAAAACTATATGTCACTACATTTATCGCATGCAATTTTAAAAAATATTTATTTGCCTCTCACCTCTATCTTTAAACAGTAAAATTACTTATTCTTAATGTAAATGCTGTTCCTTGAAATAAGCAACATCAGACCTTAATTAATCCAAGATACTTGAATCTATTTAAGTAATAATTAATCCATGTGCTCTGATGCTCAGGGTTACAAGTTTGCACCCACCTGAAGTTTAATTTGTTCTTTATTATTCTTTTGTAGATCTTTCGTTCTATAGTAGTAGGTCTGTAAATATATTCATGTTCGTCCTATTATTTCTATTTAATTGTGTTGAATTATTTTGTATATTTGGTTTATAATATTTTCGAATTAGCGAAATACATGTTTATATATATTATTTACTGATTTAAGCTCTAATATTACCATCTGAAAATCCTTTAATTAAAATAAATTTCTAATAGTAAGCTCAATTTGCAAGAGATATATGACTGTCACAAGGAAATTTCCGTTTTAGTTTTATCAATGTTGCATGTATTTCATACTTTTTGACATTATCCATGATAATAGAAATTTTTTCATTTGTAGATATTGTAAAGACTACTAAAAAATAAATAAACACTATTATTATGATTATTATTCATGTACCATCTTGTTTGCAGACAAAAATGCCTGCACCTGCCGCTACAGCTGTGGAGCCAGGTCCTCCTAGAACAGAACTCCAAGAACTTCAGCTTCGTGCTGGACAAGTTACCGATGAGGTATATTTATTTTTCTTTTATAGTTTTTGTTACTTAGTAGCCATATTATTTATTGTTATTATGGATTTATTTATAATTAATCCTGTTTTTCTGTTATTTTTTTATCAAATTATTTTTGACTCTCCACTATTTTACATCATCCATCCATTATTTCCTCTTCTTATAGCACAACAACTCATAAAGGGTCCTGGCTGCTATTCAGTTTCACACCTTTAAATATTTTCCTTCCATCATGGGCTTCACAATTTCCCCACCACGGATTTGGCCTTTCAACTCTGCAACGACTAAAAACAGGCTCGATCAAAATATTCTTTGAAGGTAGATCATTAGCATTCTGGCTTGATGTCCTGCCCATCTAAGTCTTCTAAGCTTGATGTAATAGGCGATATCTGGCTCATGATGTAGATAATACAGCTTCTTTACCTCCATTCATTATTCTCATACCCACCACCGTGAATTTGGCGAAATGCTTCAAATGTGAGGAGGAATTGATCTTCAGCTCTGGTTTTGGTCCATATCTTTGATCCATAACATAGTAAAGGACGAATAAGGGTCCTATAAATGGTAAGCTTTGTTCTTCTGGTAATCCAATTGCTGGTCGGGTGCAGCTAGAGTGGATTGGTTCTCAAAGGAGATATCGAGAAGGTGGGGGCCGCCTATGTCCTCATTGATATATTAAACACATCTCTACTGCAGTGTAAGTTCCCTGAAGTATAGATACGATCAATACTCAGACCCATTTCTAAGAATTTAAAGCCCATTATACCTTCAGATTACCTGTCAGTCGCACTATTGCCCGTTGTGCCAAAAATACTGGAAAGAATAGTTGAGAGAGACTTGAGAAGATTTCTGAAAGATAATGCAATACTTTCTCCATTCCAGTTAGGGTTTAGACAAGGGCGAAGTACATGCACTGCGTACAGCTCTGATAGAAGTACGTAAAGCAATGGATGAACGAATGGTTAGAATATTTGTGTCACTAGATCACACCAGGGCATTCGACTCTGTTGAGCCCCGAAATGCCAGCCAGGAAATTCAGAGGCTTTGTGGTAGGTGAGCAAGTATTAGAATGGCGGAGATCATATCTGACCGGACGGTCACAGCAAGTGAGGGTCCAAAACGATCGGTAGGAGTGGTTGGAGTGCAGCTCGTTTGTTCCTCAGGGTTCTTTTCTTGGACCACTATTGTTTCTCAGATACATCAGTGACGTGGTCAAGCCTCTTAAATACTGCGAATTCCATATGTTTGTGGATGATATAGTTATTTGGGCTTCTGCGTTACAAGAGGAATAGGTAGAGACAATGCGGCTGGTTAATGATGACATAAATGTACTTCAGCTCTGGACCATGTCTAATAGACTCCACCTCAATTCTAAGAAATGCTGCTGTATGCTGATAGGGGGCCCCAAACTGGTTGTAAAAGCTCAGAAGAATGTTTCACTTCCCCAGCTGACAATCATGGATAGCATCATACTCCGATCTGGAAAGATTCTTGGAGTGATGATCAGTGGCTCGTTGTCTTGGCATGACCATGCCAGTCTTGTAGTAAGCCGGGTATACAGTGTTCTACATTCCCTCTCTAAGTGAAAGCAACTTTTGTCAACTGAAGTCAAGAACAAAATTGTCTCCACATTAATCCTCTTTGGTATGGTGACTCAGTTACATCGACATATCTGATTCAGAAGACGTCAAAATTCAGAGGGCTCTCAATACCGCTATATTTTGCATATATTGTACAAAAAGGGAGGATCACATCACTCCATATATAAATACGTTAGGGTAGTTACGAACTAAAGACTACTATAGACTCAATTTGATGTTCGTCGCAAGAAAAGTTCTGGACTCTAGGGATCCCGAAGAACTAAATAAAGGATTTGTAGGGGTGCTTAGTGAAAGATTACAGGAAGCATTCCAGTTGCCAGCTTGCAGAACTGAGATTATGAAGAAGATAAGATCTGGTAAAGATAAGATCGGTACCCTTCTTCTGCAAGGGCTGTCTAAGGTGATTGCTGACCGGTCAAATAAGTAAAATCTTAAGAATTCATAGTTCTTACAATTACTTCCTCTCCCTGCACTTTCAATTTTATTTATATCTATTTATTTAATTTTTTTCTGTTTTTAGTGCTGTAGCCCCTCCAATAATCTCTATGTTTTCATTTTATTTTTTCTCTTTCTCCCTTCTTACTATCTTATTTTATTTATTAAATTTATACATACTAACATCCATATCGTATTAATTTACTAACATGTAAAATATATTATAATTTAGGTAAAATGTATATTGAAACGAAAATTGTTTAATTCAAAATGTTATTATATTTTTGTCTGAAAGAAAGGGCCATAGACCCCAAGACAAACAATCTATCAATCAATCTTAACCTTGATCTTGACCAATTTTAATCCACTTGTCGTGTTCAAACTTCTTATGTTCCACATTCCTTTACCTAGATTTCTAATTTTCAACTTGTGCTATGAATCTCCTATAGCTTTCCTCACTCAGAGACTCAATAGGGGACTAATTACGTATAGCCATTGAGCATTTTACCTTAGGGAAATTCATGACTGGTATACATGATTGGTATTTTGTGAACTAAACATATGGTTCAATTAAGATTGAACTCCCCAAATTCCCCGCCCATGGAATACTCCCCTACTGTGTAATGAGGTTGCACAATGTCTAATACAATACCAGGTGTGAAAATATGAAACTAGAATCATCTATAGATGGTTTTAGTTAATATAGTTACCATAATACCATTTATTGGTGCCATTTAGTTTCTTCTATGGCTGGCCAAGATTTTTATCTCACAACAACGCAAGTTTTATATATTAGCATAGTTTTGATAGTGTTGAACATATTGAGTTATGAGACAGCATTAGTTTTTTGTTACTATTTAAAGAAAACTGCTGTCGAATCACATCGAATGTTTGTCGAAGCTTATGATGAGCATGCACAGGGTAAATTTAAGTACTTTGAATGATTTGATAAATTAAAAGTGGCGATAAGTGTGGGATGTGGCTGTATCTGTTATGAGCTGTTAAAACCTGACAAAACAGTTAATACTGAATGCTATCTACAATAAATGGTTGATTTGAATGGAATATTGCATGGAAAATGACCAGAATATCAAATAAAGACAACACAGAGTGATTTTGCTTTACAATAATGCACCATCATGCACAACAAAACCTGTGAAGGAAATTGAGGCGTTCAGGTGGAAAATATTAGTGCGCATGGCTTACTCGCCAAACTTGGCTTTGCCTGACTTCATTTGCAACGATGGGACACCATGCACTTGCTCAGCAGCTCTTCACTTCTTATGAAAATGGCTAGATGACTGGTTCGCCACAAAAGAACATCTGTTTTCTGGCATGACATTCTTATATTGCCAAAGAGATGGGGAAAATGTATAGTTAGCAATGAACAATATTTCAAATAAAATATTTATTAATATTTCTATGCAATAAATGTGTATTTTCTAATCAAAATTCTGGTTTCATACTTACTCACTTTATAAACAAAACATAACATAACCACGTTCGACAGATGTTAAGGGTACAAATAAAAATAATTATGAAATATGAAATAAAATAAATATAAACAAAAGAAAATTATAACTCCACACTGAAAGCATAAAGTGAGGAAGAGAAAGAAGAAGAATTTGAAACTATAAACATTAGAGAAATAAATTATACAAAAGATAAACCTACAGAAGATGATCTGAAAATGCTTTAAACTAGGGATCCTGAGGCAATATTTTAGCCTTATGCTAATGAGGAATGTGCCTTAATCTGAAAAGGAATAAAGCTATTATGAACAAAGGAAAAAAAAAATTATTTTTATAAAAAGTACTTCATAAAATTTGCCTCATATAATCTATTGATGTTTTTGAAGAGAAGGATGGTTGAGGTGTTCAGTCAAGTTGACTGAACACTCCAACCATCCTTCTCTTCAATTATTCACTACATTCAACCATAAACCCACAATTATTGATGTTTTTATTATGGCTGCGACAGGGATAACTTTAAATATTTCTAAATAAACGTATTTATCTATCCGTCTTTTTCTATCAAAGGACTTGATTCTGTTGCATTTTTAGGTAATTATATCTTATATTCCATAATCTCAGTATTTTTTTTCTCTCACTTCATCAATTATATCTGTCCAGGGAGAGGAAATTTTTGTTATTAAATTCTGTTTTTCTTCTTGTTTTTTAATACTTTTTTATTAATATCATTTTTTTTCTTTGCAGTCTCTGGAAAGTACAAGGCGGATGCTGTCTTTGTGTGAAGAGGTGAGTTTTTGCTTAGACAGTTATTGCCACAAACTAGTTATTTATGTTTGCCTTAATTTTGATTTCATCACCACTTAAGTTGTAGTATATTTTCCACTGAGTAAGTAGCTTATATGCTAACGAAATTAATGTCAAATGAACTTCTATTTGTTTTTGTTCATATTTTAAATTTATTTATTTTTTGTAATTATATATTTTTCATAATTTTTGTGTTTTAAATATAAAAGTATGTAATATAATTTAAACTTCTTGAATTTATTTATTTCTGTATCAAAGAAGGCAGAAAATCATTGCAAGAGATCTATGAGTATACTGAGTTGAATATGCAATACCTAATACCACCATATCACTTTAAACATTACACTTGTGGATCATAGCTGACATTGTGTTATATGCCAGTTCACATTTAGCTGACTCCTGTGATTTTTCTTTTTTAAGATAGTTTATTTAGTTTGCTCAATTACTTCAGGAAAGTAACTGTATATTGTCAAAATCCTATGTGCCCAAGACACCACTATCACATTACAGTATTGTTTCCTTAGATCCTTTATTCTTGAGAAATTGGGATGAACCTTGAATATATGCTTTTCACCTTCTATTGGCCAAACAAGTCAGATAAAGCATCAAATTATCCATTTAAAGTAGTGGTTTTATGCTTTGAGTTACATCTGTCTGGAAGTACCCATATAAAGCAGAATAATTGTTATTTTTATAGCAATGTTCTCTTATAGGTATAAGGCCTTTATTGTTCAATATTAAATGAGGCAGTGCATGTATCACACTCAGAATCTCATTATTGTACCTTAATAAATCATCTGCATATGATCCTCATATGCTGTATTGCAAGATTTGTTTATAAATATGATGGTTTCCTTCTATTTTCTGTTTCTTACTAGCAATTCTCTTGTTTATAATTTGCCAGTTGTAATCTTTAGTAAGGAGCCTACAATATATTACAGTTATGGTTAATTTTGCGATACTGTCTAATTTTGCTCATTTAACTAATCTAACCAACACTAGCTCACTTGAAAATACACAAATATCATTTTAGTATGCTCACATGATTATATGTATATGTCATGAATATGTACATGTGGCTTTATTTAAGTCACAATATTACAAAAATAAAACATTTAGTTAGGTTTATTGAATTTTTTTTTAAAGGAAAGTACTATATAGAATCCAGAACCTGATTTTCTTAATAAATTATCAAACACAAAGAACAATCAGTTGGAAGCAGATCAGTAGAGCCTTTATTCTTATAACTGCCACTTCTTGATCACTTACTCACGAGAAATCTGTTTATAACCTAACCTTGGTTCTAACAATTGTAGTGTCCTGTTCACTCACTCATTAGTAATCATTTTGGAGAAAATCTGTGAAACCTATGATCTCTCATAAGAATTGTAGATATAACTAAAGTTATTGGTATTGGGTTCAGACATCTCATTAGTTCTCTTCCTTACTTTCCTCTACTTTACCTCAATAACCGCCGTATCCATTTTTCTCGTACTGTAAAAAATCTAGGTGTAACCTTCGACCAGAACATCTCCTGGAATAACCATATCTCCCAGATTACCTGAAAATTAATTACTACCCTTAAACAACTCCTAAGATTCCATGATTGTATTCCTCTAAAAACCATACAGCTCCTTGTAACCTCCATTATATTCCCCCATTTTGACTATGGCTACTTGGTGTATGGAGGGCTATCTGCCAGGCTAGAAATGAGATTGAAGAAACTCATGAACTGTTTCATATGATACATCTTTGTGTTTTTCTTTTCCAAGTCCTCAGAACTGAAAACCTTCCCTACATCCTGGAGCTCCTTTCTCTTCGTTCCTCTATCTACTCTCTCAACACCAGGTCTCAACCTATAGATTTATATATCCCCTCCCATAAAACTACTTCCTTCAGTAAATCCTTCATCATTCGTGTTACCTTCTTTTTGAACTCTCTACCTACCTCCATACATCAATCATGGTCCACAAATTCCTTAAAACAACTCCTGTTCCTCCACCTACAACGAATGAAGAATAGTTAAACATATAATATTTACTTGCGTCTGTACACTGTTTAATTCAATCAACTGCACAATTTCAATAGCAATCAACAGTTACTTATTTTGTATTTTTTATTCTTCTAAGCCAGACTAAGACTCATAAATATGTAACTCTGTTATTATTTTTTAGGGTACTATAGTCTCAGAATAAAGTTATTTTTGCATTAATTCTCTCTCCTCTGTTTTGTAAACAACTTAATTTACAAACTTTTTAAAATTTTAAATGTGATAAGTAAAACTCAAATCAAAATTCTAAAAGTACTTCTTTTTAACTTAAGTTGCTTGTTACTGTTTAATCGTCAACTTCTTCAAACATACAAATGTTTAGATTAGATCTTTTTAATTTATAGAAGTTGAAAAGTATAAATTTTTCAGCTTACTAATGTTTTATTTTATATCCATTTACTTGTAGGTTGTTGTTTTTTTCTTCTCTTATCAAAGTCTTGGAAAGTCTCTTAATGTCCTCTATATTGCTCCCAAGAACAGCTACATCATCTATATATCCTAGGGTGTTATGATGCATTTTAATGCCCATTCCTCTATTTTCATGTTATATTCTTATCACTTTCTCCAGTGCTTGGATGAACAGTATCGGCAAGATTCCACCTCCCTGCCACAGATCAGTTTGAACTTAGAAGGCTTCAGATATTTCTGTTTGTATCAGGACTCGACATTTAGAATAATTTTTACATGTCCTCGTCAATCTCACCAACTTCCCGGCTCAGTGTCCATGTTTATAAAGTATAAATGATTATATAGCCTTAATGATTTATAATTCATTAGAATTGATCAATAATTTTACTATTCATTCTTGTACTTTATGTTCATCTGATGCCTTAAAAGAATTTTGTAATTGATTTTTGGTCATTTGTAAAAAAAAAAAAAGTAATATAAAATATAGTGATTAAAATATAAAATAGTTTTGATTTTAATTTGATAAAAAATTATTATTTATAACATTAATATAGTCTCTCAAAACTTAAATATAAATATGTAAAGTAAATTAAATATAAATATCTTATATTTATAAGATATTCTGATAAAATTTTGTATGCCATTCATTGTTGATGTAGATAATATTTTTATAATTTTATGCTTGAAGATTGTGCTATCTACATAGGCCTGCACCACTTTATCATATTAGTATTTGTAAACTACATTGTTTGTTTTATAGGAATTTTTATGGATAATTCATTTTTTTTTTTTTTTTTTTTTTTTGTTCTTTGATTATGAAAAGAAATTCAAAGGCTGAATCGCATTGGATAAATTATACTGTTCAAAAAACTTTTAGCTAAAGAAGGAAGGAATTCTTGCCATTAGTACTTATACGTGCTTTAACCAAATTATCTGATTAGGTTTATGGACATGACATAGACATTGTAAGTTAAACTAAACAGTAACTTAGTTAAGTATGGTTTAGTTTTGTGCATATTTGAAAGGTGGTTGCCCTCTTAAAATGACCAAGGAGCCTAAGTTTCCAAATACACTCCCACATGGGGAGTTAGTGACCTTCATCAGGCTATTGAAGGTAATACCACAATCCATGTTTTTAGGCTTATTAGCCATTCTTCTGGATACAAGGATGGATATATTTCTACATCAATGAAAAGGACACTGCCAAATTGGTCCCTAAAGGATTTTTTTAGGTATATATAGCCTGTTAATGTTGCTATACTGATCAATGTATGCTTGCCTATATGTTCAAGCCTTCACATACTAAACATTTCACAATCATATATTTATTTTAATTGTTTTTCCTATCCATATTCAAATGAGATCCTTTTTCTCTCTCCTAATTTTATTAAACTATTGAATTTCTGTTCTATAAATATTTGTTATTAAATGTTTTTTGTATATTTCTTTAGTATGTAAATAGTAAAGGATGAGTTTTTCACTTGTTGTTTTTTCAGAACAGATTTTCTGTGTTTTATGTTTGACATTAATTTCTAATTAAGCACTCTAATGCAGTAATATTACTATATTTAGATTATAGAATATAATTTGAAATTAGTGAGAAAACGTGTGTTGTAGTTGTATAAATAATATTAAACCAAATGTATTTTTGAATTATGTCTATTTTTGATTTATTTCAATAAATTGTTCTTATTACATTAAATAGATTATAAATTTTATTTTGGCAAAATAGGATTGAAAAAAAATAATAATAAATTTTTATTAAGTACATTACTTTTATAACCTCATAAATCAAGAGGTGATATAAAATTTCATAATAATCATGATTAGGAATATAGGGAGATAACAAATATAAAATAATGATAGGAAGAATACAATTGATTTCATATTTTTGCAGAATGGTTTTGTTTATCTTTTAATCTATTCTCGATTCTTTTCTACTGCTAAAGCATGACTTTCATTGTTTTCATCCAAAGATCTTCAGAATTAATAAATATAAGTATATTTGACTATTAAAAATCATTTTAGTTATTATTAAATGCTATTGGATTAGTAACTACTAACTAACTAACTTTTACTACTAACTGTTCATAATTTATGAATTCATTTTTTTGGTAGGCTAAGATCTTATTCATTGTTATGTTTTTCATTAGCTACCTATAGCATGTTACTGATGACAAATATTTGTGTTATTGCATGTTTTATTTTGGTGTTACTCAAGTTTTTAACATTTTAAACTTCAGATTCTTATGAATAAATTAATCTCCTTAGCTTCCATAGGGGTCACTTTTGTAGCTACATGATTAACTAAGACCATAATTATAGTAACAAAATAGAATACTTCACTTGTAAATTAAAGATCAGTGTATGTAAGAGCATACACCGGAATAAAGTTATTTTGGTGTATGCAAGAGCATACACCAGAATAAAGTTATTTTTCTATTTATCTATCTACATGAGTAATTAAACATTATCAGGATTTAATAAACATTTTGACTCTTATAATTGTGCATATTGTTAACAT